TGCCCAACTTCAACAACTTCAACAATAGGGTGTCATGTCACGTCGGTCTCGGTTTCCTGTTATACTCGTTCTCATCAGTCTTGGTTCTCATCTTCACGTCTTCAAATGTGGTCTGAAGTGTCCTGTAGCATCATTGCTGGGACTGTGGTTGGTCATGCACTGTAAACCTCAACGAGTAAATTGAATTAATACAATATGGTAAAACTAATTACGTCAATATTTTTAATTATCCCCCAAATTTTTAAGCATCTTTAACTTTCAGGATTGTAATATATGGTTAGATTAACCAAAATTTAGCAAAATTCTACAATCCATCCTACAATGACAAATTAAAATTAGCATTGCAAGAAAACTATTTAACAGATTAAACAAGCAGTTTAATAAAATTTGCTGGAAATTAAAGAGATAAAAAAAGACAGAAACTTTAAACGTAAGTTGTATTTTTTTATTTAGTAACTCACATCAACATGCAACCTGTTACTACATAGAATAACAGTGCAAGGAGCCCAAAAAGAAATGACTTTATCCTTTGGGCTATAACTGGTTTAGAAGTGCCAATAATTATATAAATCATTATTTAAATATTTATATATAAACGTTGTTTAGTATGTATCAATACTTGTCAAAACATTATGACTCACTGCTCATTCTTTGCATACCTGGATTACTCCACTAACTGAAGTTCATTTTTCAAACTCCGTAATCTTGGTTTCCACTATCTATCACCCATCATTTAGACCCATCAAAACCATCTAATTAAAATCAAACATGTTGGCAAACTCCTTTGGGTTACCTCAAATGTAAGGTATAAATCAGCCCAAAAAAGCGATCAGACAATGTGGTAGTCTCGATTTCAATGTTAATCCCAGGACAACCCCAATCTTCTCTGGGCAGAAGAGTGTGGTATTGGTTGAAGAAACACTGATCAAGTGGAGCCCAAGTGTCTTTCCATTAATGTCTGGTTCATCATCCTGTTACAGGTGACAACAAGAACAACTAACTGTTAGACAGTTCAAATGGCTAACTTTAAGTTACTCTACGCACAACTTAGCCTGTTAGACAGTTCAAATGGCTAACTTTTTGTTGTTATGAAAACAAAGTTACTCTACGCACAACTTAGATAGCAACATCAGTTTTCTTTAAATGGAATCTCTAAAACCAATTCTAAAATCAGACATAAAATGTTACGGATTTTTTTTAAATAAATAAATAACCATGGTGCTTTTGGTTAGCCAGTATTGCACTTAACTTTTTAAGTTGATTAACACTAGATATTAAACAGAATTTTCTGGACTTGCGACTGAAACTTCAGCTTTAGCCAAAAAAAACCCAAAACAAACAAACAAAAAAAAAACAAACAAAGTTCAGCATTCACTTTCAAAAATACCAAGACAAATCTAAGTCACGTAGAGTATGTCGCCATTTCGGGCGCAAAGTTAGAGGGAAAAAATGGGAGTTAGATAACTACTGTAGTGAAACTAATGTCAATCGCAAAAACAGAATACACATTTTAAATCAAAAAGCAATTAAAATACAAACATTTACACAGAAAATGTAACATAAACAAAGCCGTAACTTACCAGACAACAGCGGCCAAGGTCACAATCACTGTAACCGCAATCGAAAGCAGCGATACCGTAGGCTAGCTTGGCAACCTGAGTCACAACAGAGTTAGGCGAATTTTCAGCAAAACGCGCCGAGTTGGTGTAACCGACGTATCCGTTCATCTGTAGTGTTTAGCCCGTTTACTTCCGTCCACTTGCAATTCAGACCGCCAATTTTCGAAGGGAGGGGACAATATGGCGGCCTTCAAAATTCTGAGCACGTCGCGTACGTGTCGCGTCGTACTTGACGTCATACATTACCTGCTTAAAACCCAAGTACAACTAAAATGAATGAGCACGATAAACATAAATTAAAATTTTCGTTCAAACGACACACATATTTAAATTTAACTTCCTTTTAAACTGTTTTTGAGTAATTATAACTTGTGTTTTTTATGTAACTTGTACTATTGGGTCTTACAGTGTGTGTAGATACAAGATATAAGAAGCTTTAGTATTGTGGATCTGGATAATATCTTGATATTTAGCAGCTGCATCAACGGCCACATATCTTCTCTTTGTTGGTGTCCATCCAAATCATTCACCAGAGCAGAACCAGCAAACAGCCTCATGACAAGAAACATTTTGTTGTGTGCAGTGGTGTGCTGTGTCTCAATGACAAATAATTCAGTTTCCTTTCCTTCTTTTCCTTCTGTGACTACAGTTGCCTCATATCCCCCTGTGGCCTGGGGACACTTTACCCCAACACAGGAAAATGCAGACTGCTGTGCCAACCACAGCTGGGCCCCAAATATTCTGGCTTCCCACCCAGGGAGTTGTGAAAGCAGCCGCAGGTTCCTTGACAGCCTGAAAAGCCAATACACAGCAACCACAACCACTCCAGGTGTCCCTGCTGCATGCCAAGCTAACATTATCAGCCACACCCACTGATACAACCCCAGCCAACCTCAGTGGCGACATTGAGTTACCTGAAATGCCACAGTAGCTGCAGGGGTTTCATCATTAATCACTATCAGTTTTTTTTCAGTTGATAATGTATTTCATGCTGAAGATTGACCAATACATTACCAAAGTTTCTATTTTAACAGCTCCTGTCTCGCAATTCTATTATCATACCCCTGCACGTCAGAAGAGCCATTAGCGCTACCTAGAGAGGACACGACACACATTCATCACTTTTGGGAGATAAGAAAGTGTCAACACATGGAATTTAAAAGTTTCCCATTGAAAAGAAGCTTTACTGCGGGAGCATGGACTGTTTAACAGGCATTCCAGAGTGTATAACTCTTGATGATCAAACCTTCCACTTTGTATGACATGATCACTTTCTGTAAAGGTGCAGTTGAATTTTATTGGTTTGGTCTTTATGTCTTGTTTAACATTTTTTGTTTGTCTTGTTTGACATGTCACCTTCATGCAAACGAATACGGTTCCTGGATGTCAGGGGGAAGGACTGATGACAAAAAAGGCAAAATCAATGTTGAGTTACAAATATATTGTAGGACCTTTATTAAAGAGATTAGAAAGTACTTCACAAAATAAAAGGAAGCTGAGGAGAAACAAAAACATTTTTATTTTACAAATCAATTTTTTACACACACAGACTGAAATTTTCAAGGCCACATATACAGTTTTAAATCCACATTATACAGTCACTTGGAACAATTTCACATCCACCTCAAAAAATAACTTCTTTACAGAATTTAGTAGTTAGATAAACATGAGCGTGCACAGCCCACTTAACACATTGATTGGTGTAGGATTGTCTAAAGAGAGAAACGGTCTCAACAACAACAACAACAACAACAGTGTGTCTTTGGCAGAGAGTTAGTCAAGTCAGAAAAATGTATCAAACACTGTTTTCAACTGACACACAGTGGGAATAGAACCGTGGCACAAGATAGTTCAAATTCAGCAGAGTTTCACATACAGTGGACCTTCAAGCATAAGGTGTGTGTTTGTGCATTGGAGTAGTTGTGCTTCGCGTGTATGTCCACTTCATTGTGTACTAGTCGGTCTCTCTCTTCAGTGGAAGTGCTTATGGTTGCAGTCGATGTGAGGCAATCTGTTTTTATTTCTCTGTGAGAGGAACAATAAAAGAAAAAGAAATCTGTCAGAAATACATTTGTTGGAAATTCTAACAAAGGACTAGCAATAATTTTTGTCTAGCAGTAAAAATACTTTAAGATTTAGCTAAAGTTTGTTTTCAGTTTTAATTTGGCAATCAAAGTCCGTGAGATGAGATTTAAAAAAACAATTGCCTACAACTGGACTCAAATATGTTCTGTTCCCAGGCGTGGGAAGATGCACATCCATATGTGTAAAAATTAACGCTCTCAGTATTTCTTGACCAACAAGACCATATTCATCAGACTTAAAGGCCAACATGTCTGTAGTTCAGAAATATAAAACAAAATAAAAACCTGTTCATTTCCTTAATAATCCATGAGGTGAATACAGTCACTGGCCAAGTTCATACACCCACCTGATTTACCCATGTCCCCTTTCTTCTCTGCCGGGTCATGTGAGCCATTTACCAGCTCTTTGTCAGTGGCCTAATAATAAAAAAAAAAAAACAACTTCTTAACTTATCAGTCAATCAGAATAATGTGGCATTCAGTTTGAAATCATAATCACTGGTGGGTTTAGTTTCAATTGGATGAGATTAGTCGCTCTAAACATGCAGTTAATTCTGAGGACATGCTTTTTTTTTCATTTGTTTGTTAGGAATTACATGCAGTTAAGTGGGTATTTCAGAAGTTTCTGTGTACAAAACAGTTTCCATGTTAAAAACAATAAATAAGGGAAACTCTCATTTGATGTCAAATGGCCACAAACATTTCTAATGAACGTTTTTGCACCCTCTACTGTTCACATCCATAACACGATATCGAGAGAGACTCAGAACATCAGCTGATTGTCTTTGGTAATGTGCACTGGTAATAAGCACCGTCTGTGGTACTAACTAAAGCTAAACAATGTTGATTTTCTATACTGATCACTTCTGCTCCAGTGTTAGGGCTATAAACCACTGTTTTCCACATTAACTCCTAAAAAAGTAACCCTTAAAAAAACATTTAGTCAAGATTTCCATCTGCCCATTGGTTTGAGCCAGCTCTAACTGAGGAAACAAGACATTTACGTAAAATAAAAATAATTTTAATGAATCACAAGTTAACAAATTACTGGGTTGATAATCACAGAAGTTAATCTTAATCTTGGATTTTGAATATATTTTTGGAGTTGTACAAACCCCTGGGTTGTGCAACACTGTGGAGATCCACACATCTTCTCTGGGCTTCTGTAGAAAAAAACTACAACCTTTAAATCAGGATTTTAGAACTAAAACGTTGTCGCTGACATTATGATCGAGATTGTACTGTGAAGGCACGAAACAGTCACTGACCATAAAACACTGAGGAAGAGACGACAGTGAACATCTGTACTCACTGACCTCATACCTCAGAGTTTATGATATTATTACAGAACATTCGGTTTATGTCTAGTGTAATGTTACAGATCACGAAACTGCCTCTTTTCTATAGTGTACACAAGCATACACGCAGAAACACACACACACACACACACACAAATATATATACATTTCTTGTGCTGTACAATACAGAATATTAAGTCTATTTTCATGATCCCTACTTGTGCTTATTACATTGTAAAATGTTGCTATCTAAATCAGTTGATTGCTTTACTTCCTTTCTGTTATCAAGAAATTAAGTCAGGGGTCTCTTGGTGCACTTTAGTATTACAGTATACAGGGGCAGTCATGGCTTAGTGGTTAACGAAGCGGGCTTGGAAGGCTTCAGGTTTGGGTCGGCCAGCTGCCCAGTTACCACTGAGGTGCCCTGAGCGTACACAGCACACAGCTTAAGCTGTTCACTTTGGTGATGGGTTAAAGCAGAGGTCACATTTGGTTGTGTGCAGTGGTGAGCTGTGTCACAGTGACAAGGAGTTCACTTTACTGAACATATATACAGTACATATAACAAACAAAACCACTGATGTCTATGAAGATTCTCAGTCATTCAGGCCATGGTCAAGTTTGAAGAGTTCTGTTAGGCAACTGGATGTGAAATTTTCTCAAAGAAGACTCATCCAAGAGGCGAAATGTCTTCTTTGAGAAAATCTTACGTCCAGTTGCCTCTTCAACCAAAACCACTGATGTGGCCCTTCATTTAAATGAAGGTGACAGCATTGGCTCTCAGCTAAGTTTATGACTCCAGAATTAGGTGATCTGAGAGTAGAACACCTCCTCATGTTATAGATTTAAATTTGTGTTTTTTATTTAAAAATAAATAAAATAATAATAATTTAAAAAAATAAGACTTAATAGTACAACACATCAATTAAGAACAAACTCTATATGACTTAGTTAGTGCTTAGAATTTTAAGAGACACCAGATAGAATGAATCCTTGAAGAATTAAAAAGTTTTTGTCAAGTGTATCTGAAATAGTTCAAGGACTGTGTAATAGTCACATCTTATGAGATTAAAACATTTTCAGAATATTTCTATTTTCTTTCACATTTCTGTCAACTAAAAGCCAACTCCATCTGCCTGTTGTCTCCGTCTTTCAAATCTACTATCTTTATCACTGCTGTATCGACAGTGCAGTCTCTTCATTTCCTCTGCTTGGTGTGAGAACATGCCGAACTGGGTCTGGACATGCAGTTAACACAACAACAATGAAAAACATGTATTAATGCTGAGTAACAGCTTTACCCTGAATCTCCGGTGCAGCAGGCTGGCGATTATGATGGTCGCAAGTCCCATTGCTATGAAGCCGTACTGCATGAATTCCATCACAGCGGGCAGAATGACCAGGTTAGTGTGGAAGGTGGTGAGGATGGGTCCGTCTATATAACCACTCTGAGAGAGAGGACAAACAGAACATCAGAATCTGACACTTTTCACCATTGAACACCAACTGCACTCTCACCTAAAACTTACGCACACCTAAAACATCTTTTAGTTACTTCCCAAAGGCCACAGTCTTCATTGGATGCATGAAGTTTGGCTTGTTTTAGAGCCAAACTTCATGCATCCACTGCAGATGTTAACAGTTTCAAAATACACTTCAACATTTGAGGTTTCAAACCTCAATTTGTTTGGCCAGCCTGATCACCTCAGCCTTCTTCAAAATTAAGCAGGAACTTAAGAAACCAAGATGTCCACGTGTAATTCCCAGTAACTAAAGCAGAGTCGCTACTGATTTGTCTGTGCTCTCCCTCCTGAACATGAGAAATACACAAAGAACTACACTGTACCGTATATATACATATATGGAGACACAAAAAGAGTTGATTACGATAACCGCTAGTTAAGCCGAAGCTCCCGCAACAGCATCAGCGTCTGCAGACAGTCCAGGATGATGGTGGATTTGATGTATCAGTCCTAAATGTTATTGATTTGTATTTTTGTCCATGTGGTAACATTACTATTATCGTGATCTCACAGGGAACCAGGAAAAAGGGACTGAAGAGCTGTGTGCGGCCCAAGAACCAGAGGTTGCAGACAGACTCTGGACTAAGGTATGTTTTTTTTGCCACTTGTGAGCAAAAATGATGTAACTTGCACTATTTTTGTGATGTCATAACAGTAACGTTGAGGATGAGGTGCCACAAATACATCTACAGCTTTCAGTTGGGGCAATTGTTAGTCCTCACCATAAGATGCCTACAGTAACAGATGTGCAATGACTCACCTCTTCAAACCACAGCATAGGCATGATCACCTCAGAAATCTTGCCAGTTTCTCTACAAGGACAAAAAGCAGGAGACAAAGACTCAAATAAACTTGAAGGTCAAAAAACAGAAAGTGAGGAAAAACCGGAAACATCTACAGGTCCTGGTTCACAAATTCAAAAACCATATGTGACATCAATGGCCTGACAAGTGCTCAGGGAATAGCATTCTTACGTAATTCCTGACACTTTTTTCATGTAGAGGTTGAGCTGCAAACGGATGGACACATTCAGAGGCACACCTGTTTGCTGGGAAGAAAAGACAAGACAAAACAAAACAAGTCTCATGTGAGAAATAAAATCACTGCGTCCACTATAGGAACGTTTGGCATTACCAAGAGATTAGGTAGACTGCCAACAGCATTGTGCAGAGCTAAATATGTGCATCTAGCAGATGCTCTTTTTTGGAACAATGTTTTTTAAGTATTTGAAAAAATGTTTTAGATATGGAGAACCAGAACCTCAACAACATTAAGCTGCAGGAGGCGCAAAAAACCCTGAGGCTATCAACAGCTTACAAACAGCTGTTCCTCGTTCTGCAGAGCAGAGGTATTGTTGGACTGCCTCAAGGAAGTCACCTCACCCATGACAGCTTCCTGTCCTTGGGCTTAATACCACATTTTATTAATAATCCTAATTTCACCCTAAGGGCCCAAAGAGTGGATAATTATAACTTTAACTATAACTTTCTTTTCTGATCTTTCGATTCTCTGTATTTGCTCCAAGTCATTAAATGTGTCAGTATGTCGACACAGCAGATTTTTATAGGAGCCAATGGTTATTGCAGTATTACATAGTACAGTACTATTACAAGTGAATAGCCCAATTTCCAATTACCTTATCTGCAGGTTAACGACCTGAGTTATGACCAATGCGGTTACACGGTTGCGGTTAATTTTACAAGTGCATTGTAAAACGAGAAGAGTTGAGGGTTTTGTAATTTATTGACAAATCAATTACATGAACACACAGGCACTTCGACCGTGTTATTTTACGACTATGTAGTCTGTTATCTGTTAGCAGTAAACTGCATTATCAGCTGCAGCAGGTCAGCAACAGCTTACATGATGATACATGATTATCAGTTCCACTCCGTGACAAGGAACAACCACACGACATCTGTTAAACCTGTCACTCAGGAAACACAGAGAATTAATTTGAGAAAAAAATAAAATAAGGATAGTAAAATGATGACACGCAGTGACATGCTGTGAAGTTCACGGCAGGTGAGGCACTGACTCCTTCACAGTCAGATTTAAAGATACATTATCTCCAAACATTGTTTATGTACCGATGGTCAAAGGAGACATTATCTACTGGTTATGTCACATTATTGATTATTGTTATTTACACTCAGATGCTCAGGTATGGGAAGGTTGGTTTTGGGGGTGGGGGGCAGACAGAGTGTCATCAACAACCATCGTCTGCAGTGTTAGGATCTGACTGATCTACTTGTTCATAATACTGTAACTCACAGCTTGGATGATGGTCCGAACTCCAAAGTTTGCATAAGTTTCACATGTACTCTATGTAATCACTGTTACTGATGACCTTAAGGATGACCTTGCTGACAACATCCACACTAAAGGCTACTTGCAAACATTGATCTTATCTCACAGTGTTTTGTCAAAGGCCTTGATGTAACACCGTCATTACTTAAGATTCTATATTTTTACTTTCTTTTGTTTAACTTTTTTTTAAAGAGCAAAGCTTGGACTTACTGGGTGAATGTCAATGAACAGTCCATGCTCCTCCTCATTTGGACTCAGGCCGTGCACATAGTCCAGGAGAACGGGGTCAGCATTAAAGAAGTGAGGATGTGAAATAAAGACTGGAGAGTCTGTAAAGAAGAAACAGAATGAAAATATATAAAACCATCACCTCCTTAATTACAACAAATATCAAGGTTCATCAACAAAGAGATGATTACCAAGACTTTACAGCTCAGAGGGAACTTGAATAAATCTGTGCAACTCCTGTCCTGCAGCTACAGTATGCTGTGGCTAAAAGAACCAAATCATCGACCCGCTGTTTGACTTGAATACTCACTTTGGCGACAGCTGCTGACGTTCAACAGACCAGACTGTCTGCAAGGACAAAAACCCTCATTGGGCTCGTAATCTGTCCCGTTGGCGAACATCGTCTTGGGTGCGACATAGCGGTACAAAGGGATTCCTTTCATCACTCCAGGGCGCTGGTACACCAGCTCCAATGATCTACACAGAGACACAATACAAAGGGTTTGCAATAAAAAAACAACCAAACATCCAAACACGCATAAGTAACTCACCTGCAGGCGTCGGGGCTGTAGAAAGGCAGAGTTGTTTCTTTGGTCATGAAGGGGGGCCACATCTGTCCAGCTGTTCCATTGATCTTGTTACACTGAGGAGTCCTCCAGTAACTCAGCTGTTGACAGAATGGTAGTTTTACAACGATGTTTTGACCAGACAGTTGTATGTCAGGGGTTTTAAAATAAAATGGTGAGGTGACTGTGTGTGTGGTGGTTAAATCCAACCTCTGTGAGACCGTTCCACGAGTCCACTTTATGAACGTTCCTAATGTTGTCCTTCCCAGTGAAGATGTTGAACAGACCGGTGTTGGAGTTGTTGAACTGAAAGATACAAAAAAAATAATCATGAGCAAACTGTTAACTGACTTTAAATCTGTTCAAACCAGGGTGAAAAGTCTGGTTTACTGTTGTTGGTTGTATCACTGATAACTGCTCACATTCCTTCACCTACATTTAAAACACTGCCTACAGACTTTGAATGCGTCTGTATGTAAAACAGTAAACAGTTTGTGCTGTGGTTCATCGTTCATCGTTCTAAGAGAGGACAAACAGCAGGGAAAGTTAGTACGACAGTGGACGAGGCTGGAGATGGTGTCACAACTGCACTTTTACTTTCTCATTTTGAACTTTGTGTTATTTGATGCTAAATTCACTAAATTCAAAACATAATTAGTCGAGGTTTGTGTTGTGGAATCAAGTTCAAGTTGGGGAATGACAAGAAATGTTTGAGAACCACAGAGATATACAGTGTTATGGTCAACAGTTGGTGACTTCTAAGGAAGCAGACACATGAAGAATAAATATCTAATACTTAAACCACCGACCTCAGCAAAAAGGCCAAACTTCCCTGAAGACGGTAACATGCCCGGCAGGTATTTATTGAGGAAATCCACCAGTCCACTGTCATAGCCCCACATCAGCTCTCCGACTGTCTTTGTTAGGAACGGTCCCTCCTTGAAAGTCTTGAATGTGGCACTTATCATTAGGCGGACAGCATACGGTAAGTTTTCCATCATCACTGCTGCCCCCTGCAGGACACAGTTGGGAGACAGAGCATACCAGTGTACACATCCATGGACTACATGACAGAAGTATGTGTTCAGAGTTAGATCAGGCTTGAACCATCTTACCAGCACCAGCATGTTTGGTATCGTGACAACATCTGACTCAGTGCCTACAGACATGGACGGCTCAAAGTAGTAGCTTCTGTATTCTCTGTACGACACCGTGAAGTTCTCGTGAAATGTGATGTTGTCTTTTTGAATGCGTTTCCTGAAAGGAGAGACAGAAACACATCTTCAAACAAATCCCGGACTGCACAGATGAGTTTTTAGATACACCAGTTGATCTAAGGCAGGAAGGCACGTGCACCAATCGCTGTTCCACTGTGTGGCCCCCATCAAGCAACCATCAAGTTGAAGAAAAAAAGTAGGTTGTTGCGACAGATTTGTGAGGCAGCTCTGCTGGTTTAAAGGCAGCATTGAGGCTTTTGAGTTCCTTAGTTTCCTGAGATTTGACAACCAGACTTTGTTTGTCCACTCTGTAGCTATATACATTTCTTATATACAGTACTGTCTATATGAGGACGGGGGGGGGGGGTTTCAAGACTATGTAGTTGACATGCCGCCACCACTGGCAGCGTTGCTGTCAGTGGTGTGGAAGCTACATTGACAACATGAGCGTGTTGGAGGACAAAGTTTACTGATAGGAGAGACAAGAACACATGAGCAATGGCTCACTCACACTCTTACTGGATGTGTCCTGAAATATAAAATAGATAGAACTGTATTAAATGTAATTAAAGGTGAACTGCTGCAATTTTGGGGGCAATTCCAATTTCTGATTTTTGGGACGTGTGACAGCATTCAACTGAAAAACATACAAGGGGTTCTGCAGTCCAACATTTGTACTCTCAGCACAAGTAATTATTAAACATTTATTGTACTGTACAAACTGTACTCACTCGTCAGTTCCACAACTTTTAAAATATATATAGTTTAGTACAGCCCTAGCATTCATTTTTTTCAGTTCACTTCAGGAAACTGTGTTTTTTGCTGACGGTCTACCTGTAAACATACGGCCCTCGCTGCTCCACCATGGGCTTCTCTCCTTTTAGAATCTCCATCGGGTTAAGTACGTTGTAGAAGTAGACAGACATGTAGAAGGGAACAGGGACGTCCTTCCACATGGTGTAGGTCAATTCATTGTTGGGGTCGATTACAGTGTTCTGACAGGGAGAAAACCAAAAACAAATAATTACTACAAATAAGAACATTTCTGGGTTTGTTTTTTTTTTAATAAAACCTAAAGCCCAAGTACTGGTCTGGGCCCCACAGGATGCGGACCTCAAATACATGATATTAACGTAGCAGGTATTACATTCATGACTGAGACTTGGTCTTTAGGTCAAAAGCCTTTAAGACCTTTTTTTTTTTCCAAAACACAATGATCTTGTTTTTTTTGTAATAAATGTGTGAACAAAGAAATAAAATCTCAAAATTTCAAAACAAATAAATTCATGGTTTTGTTCATGATTCTATACTATATTATAAATTCATGGTTTTGTTCATGATTCTATACATGTTAAGAGGTAATAATAATAATAAGCAGAGAATCATGAACTTATACTAATTAAACTGTCTTCTTATACATCCCAGTTCTGATCAGTGAACCAACTTTTCCAATTAAAATAATTAAGTTCTACAAATATTTTAGTAGTACAAATATATGACATGTAAACAGTTTTGAGATTTAGTGGGTTCATAAAAAATATCCACAGGGACATTGAAAACAGACAACATCTTATATATTAGCAGAGACACACGGACATTAATAGACGTAAGCAGAAAAGACGAGGACAAAACAAACAAGACTAGATTAAAAAACAAGCAACTTTAAAACATAAAAAAAATCGACTACATTTCAAATACTAGTTGCAAGAGGAACACATTTTTTCTGTACAACCTGATTTTTTATGTTTGAAATTATTTCCCAATCCTTAAAAAATTACAATATTCCTTAGGAATATTACAATAATAAAGATCCTCCCATTATAATTATATTATAATAATCCCATTATAAAACCATCACGCACCGACGTCTCGAAGGAATACAGAAAAAAAGAGTCAAAATAAAAAGCCTTGTAAGACGTCAGAGGACAAATCCCACACTTCCACAGGAAATCAATTAACTTCACGTTAAAACCACAAAACAATGACAAGAAGTCATCTGGTTTCTAAATCTTTCCTGTTTTTACTTTAGATTTCTGAATTAGAGACTGTTCACAAAAACACATGAATACACAAAATATGAATGAACTTTTTTTAAGGGATTTGTGTGTAAATACATGAATTCTTAAGAATACCTTAATGATTTCACTTTCCATATCAATGTTGCAATACCATGACCTATATGAAGGTTATAAAATTATTATTATTATTTTACCAAACCTGGTTCCTATCATTTGATGTCAAACTTGACTAAAGTACATTTTATAGCCTGTAGTATTGTACAACAGTACTACTATTTGCAGGTAAGTTACATGTTGCTGTAGCCGAATAATGGCAAATACTGTATACTACAGTAGATGATGACGTCCCACCGATTGTCTATTCCCAACACGCGTCTACTTCAGAAAGTTGTTCTAAGTGGTGTTATCACCGATGATCTCTTTTATCACTTTTTTGCCCTGCTGATTATCACTTCTCCGTTCACTCACGTGGCCGTGACCAGATGAAAGTCCAGACTCAGCTGTCTGCACCATGTCCACAGTTAAAACACAAACAAACGCGACAGCCCAGTGTCTCACCTTCACTATCTGGTCGTCGATGATCAGCGGTCCCACAAAGGTGAGGACGGTCCCGAACACCACGGTCAGAACACCGACTACTATGAACCCCACAGCCACCCGGGACTTAGTGCTGGACATGGCTGATTAATCATAAAAACACGCACTCATAGATGGACAACTCTTCACTAATCTCTTAGTCTGAACCAATCCGCTGCTTCAGTCACATCTCTGAAGGACCCGCTGCTGTTGTCCTCTTGTTTTTAATGCAACACGAACACGCCCCCGCCGCGCCGAGGATCCTGGGAAACGTAGTGCCAGGACGAGCCCATCTACCCGAATACAGTACTATCTATCCTGGTGTTGTGCTAATAAAATGATGTGAATTCCTTTCCTATTGAAGTGACTAAAGATCTGGCCATACAGTTCAACCTTAAACTTACCTTTTGAAAAAAAAAAAAAATCACATTCAACAACATGTTTGTTTTTTGTCGCTGTTTTACCATAAAATATTTGAACACCTTTTCCACACTACCTGGTGACAGCTGCCCTTTTCAGGTCAACAGGAAGTGCTGCCTGTTGTTTTGTCCAATTGGACATGCAGTATCATTGTTATATAAATGTATGACAACAGAAATTACACACATACATTGTGATGAAAATAATATATAAAGATGCAATGTGTTTGGACAAATATCAACTATGTATGAAGGAAGAAAGACACATTTATGAAATGATTGTGACTAACACTAATAACACTAATAACTGTAATATGATATACATCTGTTGCAGTGGTTCTCAAAAAAACTAATAACTGTAATATGATATACATCTATTGCAGTGGTTCTCAAAAAAACAAACAAAAAAACATTTCTGTCATGTCCCCCTTGGGGACAGAAATGTTTTCACACCTCAACCCCCCGGTTTCTTTATTCGTTCTTAGAATTTAAGAAATAATCCACACTGGACACTTTGAAGAGTAAGACAAATACTTTTACCTTTTTGAAGATAATAAAAAAAAATAGTAGCTTACTTTGATTATTTGGTCCTTCATGACTTTGGGTCCTACAAAGAGAAGAACTGCTCCAAAAACCACCGTCAAAGCCCCGGTCACTATAAATCCAACAGCTACTTTGGATTTGTTGAAGCGCATGGTTGTCGATGCCTGTGACTATTACCTGAGAAGAGAAGGAGAGAAAAGGAAGGCTGCCTCTGAGGAGCAGCTATGCTACAGCCTGGCTCTGTGTTGATGGAGTGAGAGGAGCGCAGCTTGGTGGCAGTATTTAGAGAGTCATGACCCCGCCCTGCACGCTGCAGGGTACAGGAGGTGGTGGTCTGGTCTACATTCTTGTACCAAGTCTGCACAAATTCATGTGAACTCACGTCATAGTCAGATGACAACTTAATTTGTCAGCTCATTAATTTGACTTTGGACGTGGCAAATTCCATCATTGAACATCCCAGTGGCATCATCTGGACACAGTGTCACTGAAATAAACTGAATGTTCTGGAAGTTTGTATTATATTATATATATATATATGTATATATGTGGACATACATGATTCAGTTGTCAAAACCACAGAGACATTAGTAAATAATTCTCTGTCATATATTGGTTTAAACAGTAAATGTTCTGACAAAGTAATACTATAAATAATATAATATTTTAATGAAATACTTGTGCCACTGCAGCTACCCATCAGGGAACTTTTCCCCACATCCTGCTGCTCATCCATCAGTTCAGTGTCTCACTATCTTCATGGGAAGTTCAGCCCACATCTGCGATGGCTCAGATGGACCAGACCAACCTGCTGTCTGTAGGATATGATGTTGACACGATGGAGAGCAGATAAAGGGATTTATAGAAGACATTTTTGGTGTTTTGGTTCTATATAATAATTGTAAAACACATTATGCTCCATTTTGTCTTGTTAATATATTTCCAATATAATATTGACAACATATACATTCCTCTTTTTTCAATGTTACAGAGGTTCTTACTTTAGGCCCTGACTTATTTTCATGGAAAACTTGTCAAGAAAACTGAAACAAAATGTGTTTTGTGAATAACAAACTAAATCTTTTGATTAAGGTCATTTGAGTGACATTCACCTAAAACCAGTGTATACAACTGCATTCACTTCAAATCCCTGTAGATTGGGATTTTTTTAACATAGGCCAGACATGTATCCAAGTACAAGAAAGATTTTGCATAGAAGAAGAATATATTCCACTGGTTATGATTTATTTGATAGACAAGTTTTTTTATTTTAATTTTGAACTTCTATATAAATTAGCAGTACTAAAATCACCAACTTCCTGTTCTAGTGCCATCATGTGAACCGTCTAACATTTTTGCTTCTCCCTCTGTGAAATGTATTTGCTGTTAAAATGATAAAAAATGATATTTTGGTCTTGACAATTACAGATCTCTGTCCCATCCTGACCGGAAATGCATGACAGCATGAGGACAAACATGAGGAGGCTAGAGGCTAACACTTCTGTTTTAGCTAAATGCCACCATCAGCACTTAGGAAGGAAAACATGTGAGTAAAAGGTCCTTTCAGCGTGCGGCAAAGCAGAAGTACAAGTGCAGCATTAAACGAGCCAAATGTTCTGAGGACCAGAGATTTCATGGCACAGTCAGATGAGTGGCTGTGGTTGCACCGTTGCTTTATGGCCTCTTACGCCTTGATTTGTATGAAGGGATCATGTGCATGTTGAGGAAAACGGCTTCCCTTCATGAACAAAATTCACCAAATCCATGAATAAAGCTGCATGAGGTTTTAAACATCATGAGTGGCTAAAGAGCCTAAATGATTTCTGTCCTGGAGCGAGCACGGTGAGCTTCACTCACTGGAAACATTTTCACTTCAAACCTCTCACAGAGACGTCTTTATGGTCAGAGTGAAAATCCTGTGTGTGACTTTTCATAAGTGTTAGCGTGTAATTACGTGCTTTTTTGATGTGATCCTTGCCTTAAGGTTAGCAGACGGATGCCCAGAAGACCCAACATTACAGCTATTGACTGTATCGGTCAAACTGAAATAACCTGAACACCTATCAGATGGAAACACTTCCCAGTGAGTACATGATGCACAGTGTGACGATCATCTGACTCCTCCCCCACACGCCATACAGTTTAAGTGATTTAGGGTGAAAGTTAAGACCATAGAGAAGCTCATGTGAAAGGGAGAGGGCAGAGGGGTATAATTTTAGTTTTTAGTCAAATGTACTCCAAGCGTAAGTCAAAAAGTCCGACGTCAGTTAACGCTTCTAATAGTGTCTGATTTTAACAACTAAAACGTGTTAAGACTCATCTCTCATTTATCATCAGTCAACTGTTCTGACAGGTTTTTTTGATCGGGTTCTATTATTATTTATGTTTTTGTCCTGAATTTATAAAGTCTAAAGTTGGAGGTGGAGGAGATGAAGATTCTGAGATCTTCACTGGGAGTGACCAGGATGGACAGGGTCACAGATGAGCAGATCAGAGGGACAGTTAAGGTGGAGATGGTTTGGACATGTTTTGAGGAGAGACAGTGAATATATTGGAGATGGAGTTAACAGACCAGAGAAGAAGAAGAAGAGGAGGAAGATCTCAGAGGAGGTTGGTGGATGTGGTGGAAGAGGACATGGCGATGGTTGAAGTAAAAGAAGAGGAACTCCAGAGCCAATAGGACAATATGTCAATCCCAGCTGTCCTGGGTGAGGGTGAGATACACCCTGGAGCCTAGATTATTGACATTTAAATGCAGACTAGAATTGGGGTGGGGGGTGGGGGGGCATTGCAGGGTACATAAACAGACCAAGAACCATTTACACCAATGGGCCATATAAAATGATCAACTTAATCCACTTATCTGCTTGTTCTTGGGCTGTGGGTGGAACCTGGAGTCACCGGAGAACACCCACATACACAGAGAGAACATTCAAACTCCATATCAAATCAAATCAGTAAACCATCTTGCTGTAGGCAACCGTTCCAAACATATGTGCGAGTGTGTTCGATACCAGGTGATCGAACACACTCGCACACTTTTTAAAATCTTCACCCTAATTCAAAGCGAGGTCTCGATCACGTTAGAGTTAAACCAGATTTTTGGTCGTATTAAAAACACTAATCCTTAAAACGGTAAGCAGCAAAGGACGCTCACGTCAGGAATCCATTACCTAGACATACAGCATTGTCCCTTTTTTCCCCACCAGGTGTCAGTGTTCAGCCAATTCTTTGAATGGGTTATTGTAAATAAATTGAGTTACGAGTTAGGTGGTGTTAGGTGTCTGAGGTGATAAGTGAGAGGGATAGGACGATGTCTTCAGGTCTGTTGTGAGACAATAATAATAATAATAATAATAATAATAATAATAATAAATACATCAAATGTGCCACATTATCTTTGTATTTTTAGGTTTTAATTTTATTCAAATTATTTTGCCCAGCAATCTACATCCAATTTTGAACCTCATTTTGACTTATGACCCAAAAAGTTTGCCCACATGATCTAGCCTAATCTCACCATTTTATTAACAGTTAGTTAATTAGCTCGCTAATTCAACCAAATTTGTGTGGTGTTGAGCCTCAGCTAGAATTGGTTGTGTGCTTTAAAACAACTGTTATGGTTGAATATCCTGTTCTATAACACTTAAAGCATAATATTTAAAAAATATTGTCCTTAAGTGTGGATGATGTAATGAGATTACCACTAGTGACATCCTCTAACCTACAGATGACGTAGGTTTAACAGCGTCTGTCACTCCTGTGTGACATGGGAACATCGTGTGGTTGGTGTACTCAGTAAAAAAAAACAAAAAGAAACACCTGCATTTCCATTCCTTACAGTGAGTCACATTGACTGCAGATTAGACACACCTCATTACTTCAACTAAACCAACTGGACTTTTACTATTTACCCTGGCTGTTGATGAGCTCTGATTTAACCACTGACACAGCCTGAAGACTGGATGCGCTGCCGTGTCTGGGTCAAGTGGACACGGACAACTCTCTGATCTTACACACACACACACACACACACACACAAGACTCATCCATGGAGATTGAAAACATGGTGGCTAACAGTGCTCTTATTAAAGCCAGAGAAGGTAAGAGATGTTTCATCCTCATGTTTTCATAAGGTTAAGTGAAAAAAACAAACAAACAACTTTATTCTATTTTAGGAGTAAATGGCATGTGCGAGGCTGTTTCAGCAGGCGTGCATACGTGCTATAGATTTGGTCATGTTTTGGTTGGAGGATCTAAAGGAGAGCATTTTGTCGCAAAGTGTTGAAGGTGGAGGAAAACACTCGGGTGAAAGTCAGACAAATGCACTCAGTCCACGGGTAAAAGGTCTTCTAATATGGGACAAAAATGGAGAATTTTGCATTGCTCTTGTATTTTTGTTCCTGAAATCGATGTAAATGGTAAACAGTTGAATAAGAAATGACCTGCAGAACAGATTTGGAGCGTGAGTAAGTTGTTACTCTTGATCCACAGTGTACAAGTTACAGTTTTCTTTACCGAAACTAAATATCAAAACGTTGCCCTTCCTGCCTTATCTTTTCTAATCAAATATGGAATCACTAAATTCACATTTGCCTCTTGATTGTAGGAAACCTGGAGCTCAGCAAGTTGTTTAAGTTGAAGTCAGCTGCAGGGTTATGTGGTTCCACAGGATTTAGTTTCCTGTTCCATGAGCTAAAAATAGCTCCTCCACTGTAGTTGAACAAGTCTTTGTTTAGCACCTGGAGGGCCAGGCACCTGCGTGTATGCATGCATGTTTGTGACATGCTGCAGAGAGATGTTTCAGGCTGTCATACCGGTACCTATTAACATTTAGGCATTCATTAAAATGGTTTTGTTTTCACCCTGTGTGTCACTACTGTCTCTCCGTCTGTTTCTCTTTCACTGGTCTGTCTGTCTGTCTGTCTGTCTCACTGTCTGTCTGTCTCACTGTCTGTCTGTCTCACTGTCCGTCTGCAGGTGGAGGGAGCAGAGGCAGGAGTTGGAAATGGAAAGAAATGCTCCGCTTTCCTCACATCAGTCAGTGTGCAGACCTGGCTATGAACATTGGTGTGTACATTTCTGTTGTGTTTTTGCTGCTGATGGTGAAATCCTTTACTTCAACGTTGTGCAAACGGTATTCATCCAACAATCACTGATGAGGGTGGTTTTTATATAGACATGACAAACCATCAACACCTACATTATACTGGAAACCAAATATGTCCCTATGCTTTAGGGACATACAGTATTTGTTTTAGGGACATATTTGGTGAGAGGTGTCAGACTCATTCCCACCGGGGGCCACGGCTGCCCTAGAAGGGCCGGTTTTAACTGAAAGATTGTATAGAAGTATGAAGTATAAATGACAAAAACAAAGACAAATATTTCAGTTCAGAAATGAGCCAGGTTTGGGGCAAAGTTGATGATAGAAAGTTCACTCTTTATCAGGATAGACTTTATTATGAGAGAAATAAATGCTTGTTAAGCTCCTGCAGGCCTTGAGTTTGACACATGTGCCAACAATGTGGACACTACAAGTGTGTGTTGCTAAAAGATTTTACCCTTCTTGTTCTCCATTAGAGCGAGATTACCACAGTCTGTGTGTGAAGCAGCCCATTGGAAAAAAACTGTTTCAGCTGTTTTGTCGCAGTCGCCCTGACCTGCAGAACTACATATCCCTCCTGGATGCTCTGGTAATTTCTTTCTGGATAGTTTTGAAAAAACATGGTGAATATGCAGGATTGGGGTTTGACCACTTCCAGAGGAAAAGACATTTAGTGGTGTAATCTGATCATTACAGTATCATGCTTCCATATCTCAAAACAAAGGCACTTAATTTGTTCATCACTACAGGCCGAATATTACCATGTCAGTTTTAAACCATGATTTATGTTTTGTAATTATTACATTTGTTGCAAAACAAAACATAACAATTGCTGGTAGAAAAAAATGATTTCTGGGACAAAAAAAAAATTACTTGTCATTGTGACACTGTACACAACGAAGGGGAGCAGCTTAGTGTGAGTGGAAAGTGCCATGCTCAGAGCACCTCAGTGGTAACTTGGCAGCTGGTGGAATTGAACCTGAAACCTCCCAGAGCCAAGCAACCACTGCCCTCTAAATGTAAAACAAAGAAAAAAGGGTTTGAAGCAGAAAATATCAAAAGATTAAATGTTAGCACAATAGTCTGTTTAGACTCTGATCTGCACCAGAAGGTTTAAAACATACTTTTACTACGTTTTAGATGTTCAAACAGATTTGTTTTATCGTTTGCCTGTTTTTAACCTTCACTTCCTTTTAGGACATTTTTGAGACCAAGTCTGATGAGAACAGAAAGGATTTTGGCATCAACATCATTCAGAGATTCCTCAAGAGTCAGGTCTGACAAAAGCATGAACATTAACACACGGTCACTGCTTTGATATTTATCACATTGATCTTCGGTCTTTAACTACAATTATTAAATTATTAAAACAGCAATTACTGTTGTTAAAAAGCTGTTTCCAAAAATGAATTGAATCCTTTTACGGCATAAAGATGCCAACATAACATAACATTATATTCCTTCATCATTTGTCCAAACTGAAAAAGGTATAATAATTAGTTCTTGAGACAGTTCTTCAGTTTTTTTCCTAAGAATTAAGCGTCAGTAACCTGCTGTAATCTTTTGTGTCTTCAGTCCAGTCAGTGTGCTTCCGTACTGTCCAATCATGAACAGAGCTGCATCCAGAGTTTGGAGCTGGATCCATGTGCCGATGTCTTTAATGACTGCAGAGAGTGAGTTCATTTCTATTCTTTTTCCCGAGCTACAAGTGTGTTTGGTGAATTAATGACACGTGTGTGTGTGTGTGTGTGTTTACTGCTTTAGAGACCTGCATAAACACCTTAGTGGAGAGCCCTTCATACAGTACCAGGACAGCATGTTCTTTGACCGCTTTCTGCAGTGGAAAAAGCTGGAGAGGTGAGTGTGTGTTAATTTGAAACAAACACGTAATTAGCAGTTAATTTATGACATACTTCTATACTAAAACTACATGCTATATACTGGGGTGTCAGACTACTTTTGGCTCACGGACAGCATACAACTACTACAACTAATTAGACGTCAAGTGGGCTGGAACAAGTACAATTCTAACATAATTATCTATATATAACAATCCAAGTCCATATTTTCCCCTTTTGTTTATATGCAATAACAAGAATATCAGATATTTCTTTTTATTTATTCATATTTATTGAAATATGATTTTACAAAAAAATATCCTGAACATTGTGTATTTTTCTTATTTTCAAAATTCATCGAGCTGGCCAGATTGAACACCCAAGCGGGCCGGTTTTGGCCCCCGGGCCTTATGTTTGACACCCCTGAAACAAAATACACATAGTATATAGTATATACTATAGTCTATTTTGTAGGTTAGTTAGCATAAAAGTGTAGCTGTACTGCAGTCTTTTGTCTCCGCTCTGCTGCACAAAAGCATCGAACATGGCAGAAAAGAAAAATAATATCAGCAGATAAAAACAAAGTCAAACTTGGTTAGGTAAAAAGCATTGTAAAATTCTGGTACCATGCCACGTAATTGAAGAGGTACTCTTCTACTACTACTTTACTACTCTCAATGACTGAAAGGAATAAACTGACCTGAGGTCTGTGTGAACTGAAAATGTGAACAAAAATAACATCATGTGTGGACAGTATGTGTTTGACAACTGACAGTAATTGTTCCATAAAAATATTTGTTTAGCTGTGTCAACTTTCACATTGAGTACAGTATACAGTAAGGATATATACAGTATACACCCTCAACGTACTGTAGAGTATATGTAGAATATTCCTTACACATATACAACATGTAGAACACACGGTATGATAACTTAATAGTCGGTCGTGGAGCTGGTTTATCTGCTTGTACTTTTCCTTCACTACCATTAGTACTGACTCTGTGCCATTTCTTTCAGGCCTTCATAAATGTTTCTGGAATGAAACCAATTGTCTGTTTTGTTTTCTGTTTTTTTATCCAAGGCAGCCTATCAGCAAACAACTGTTCAGACAGTACAGACTACTTGGAAAAGGAGGGTTTGGAGAGGTAAGACCAGTGTTACGAGTTAAGGGTAAATCTGATGTAACAACAGTTTTAGCTAATGGTTCTATTGTAATCAGAACAGACAACTGGAATCCTTTTTAATTTCTGAGATCTAATTGATCAAATCATTTTCTTAATTTTAGATATTCCAAAGACATTGTTATGTCCTTATTTATACTGTATATTCACTTGTGATTTGGCATTTACAATTAGAATAAAAAAAAACATGTAACAACTAAAAGAAAGGTTAGTTTTGTTTGTTTGTGGGGATGAAGTCGCAATGTGCTTCAGGGTTTACTCTAGATGAGAAAAACAGGGTCATTAAAATTATAAATGACTCTCGCCTGGAGCAGGAATTAAAAAATCCTAAAATTAATTAGACTTTCTTTAAATATGGTTACTCTGGGGAGGAGACGGTAATTGTGGGAGGGAAACACAGGAGGGTAGGAGCAGGTGATTAAGGTGATGACGAAAGACGGGCCGGGCGCAGGTTGGGGTGGAGCAGACCATCAGACAGCAGTGAGTGACACCGGCCTCAAACATATTATTTGTAAGAACATATTTTATCTTTACAGATTCTTTAGATCAAATTCAACTTTTAAAGCTCATGAATAAATCAGAAAAGGATTAAGAAATGGCATGGAAAACATATATAAAAATAACCTGAACATTTTCCTAAACATTTTATTCTGAAGTAAAAAACTATCAACATTTTACTGCTTCACTACTGCTCTACACAATTTAGCCCACACTGTTCACTGTTCAGACCATATCTGTGTAATCTGCACCCAAAGTTTATATTTCCAAATTATTTATCATTTATCAGGTGTGGGCATGCCAAGTGCGAGCCACAGGAATGATGTACGCCTGCAAAAAGCTAGAAAAAACCCACGTGAAGAAGCGTCGAGGAGAAGCCATGGCCCTCAATGAGAAAGAGATACTGGAGGGGCTGAACAGTCGATTTGTGGTAAGACTGTCAACACTACTCCACCAGCTGCCAAGTTACCACAGAGGTGCTCTGAGCATGGCCCCGTCCCCACACACTGCCCCCGGGTGCTTAAGCTCCCCCCTAATGGGTTAAATGCAGAGGTCACATTGACAATGACAAGTAATTCACTTTTTTTTTTTAATTAGCACAAGAAAAAAAGAAGAAAGTAAGAAAGAAAGAGAAGGAAGCCTAGCCAAGAAAAATTATTTTTTCTCCATTTGCTTATGAACTTAACTGAAGTTGATGTTTCTCAAGAATGCGTTGCATGTTCTGGGGAAGGAATTGCATTTTCTGTGTGTTGACCCCAAATTGACCTCCCAACGCTTCTTCATATGGATGCCTTTTTTCATGCCATTTAAGAGCTTTTTTTAAAGGCACACCATGTAACTCAGCACAAAACACTAGGGATTGGCTCTACCTCCCTCCTGATGCCATCAAACCAGGGCACACTGATTAAAATCTACAAAACTTCATTCTTGTCCATGGGCTCTCATTAAGGTCAATGACTACTTCTACGTCTGGGAAATTCCCAACCCAGAACAGGTCTGTCAAAGACCTGTGCTTGGGCAGCAACACAACATTTTTTATGATTAATTAATCCGAGACTAATCAGACGACCAGAGGAATTTAATATTGTTCATGTGACCAATATTGTTCATGTGATAAAAAGGCTGATAATTCTAATTCTTCTCTCCTTACACTCTGCAGGGGGTATGTGGTGTGAAGACTTAGAGAAGGATAGTTGTGTACTATCAGGTCTGTAGAAAAGGAGGCTTTAATTATATTTTTAAAGCAACAGTTTGACTCAGTTGTGATGGAAATCCACTGAGCTCTGTTGTTCCTAATGTCCACATTCACAAATAGCTGCAGGCAGTTTCATCTTTCTGTTATATACAATCTTGTTAACAACCGACACATTGCATGAATGTTCCGGACATCATTAGAACTCTAAAGTGCTTTATGAAAGCTAGGACTTTCTTAGAATGAAACCTACTGTTTGTAAAAGCAACTGGATACTTATAAAAGACCAAAATAAATATTATAATAGAGAATCCTATAATTACACACAAAGAAGAAGTAATTGACATTATAAATGTTTAATTATACAGTGTGTGTAGGTCTGGCCTGACACCTGCTGCAAACTACTGTGTGCTTCTCATGCACTTTCTGATTCTTCTCTCAGGTAAATCTGGCGTATGCCTATGAGACCAAACACTTCCTTTGTATGGTTTTAACTATGATGAGCGGTGGCGACCTGAGGTTTCATATTTATAACGTCGGTGAGCCGGGCCTGCACAGAGACAGGGTATGTTTCTACGCTGCAGAAGTCTGCTGTGGTTTGATTCACCTCCACCAGAAGTCAATATTGTACAGGTGAGTCACACTCATATTTTTAACTAAATATAGCAGTAATATATATTGAGATGTAGTTAACATTGATATCACTTTGTTCATTAGCAATGTTTTTGTTTAGTAAGACATACTGTAATTTAAAGGACTATATTCCCAACTTTAATATGTTAAGACACAGTCCTGTCTAACAGCCTTGACAAGTTTTATTGTTATGACTTTGACAAGTGTTGATGTATGTTTATTTCAAAAGGTTTTTCCTCAAAAGAACATTTTGAAATCAGAGCAAACATCTTTTTATTTAATATTAAATATGTTAAAATATCAAAGCTGTCCTAAAACTTAAATAACATTTAGGGAACTGCACCTTTTGTAGAACAAATCTGTTTGGCACTAAGACGCCATTTAGAATTCTCGTTGTTTGGCCATCTGCCAGACAGGTTAATTGCAAATATGAAAACATTTGAAACAAGCCAAATTTCAGTTCTTGGATGAGAAAAATAATCAGGTTTGGGCCTAAGCCTAATTTAATGTAAGCCGAAAGAAAAATACCAAAAATACAAAATATAAAGACTCATGAACTCTAGTTTTAAGTCAGAGAAGGCTGATAGAAAGCTGTGAACAACCATGGAAAACCTGTTTTACACCAGTGCCTACTGGCAGCTGTTTTCAACATGAGCAGACACCACAAACAGAGCAGTCAGTGCTCTTTATACAAACACTCATACAAAATGCTAAGCTATCAAATTAACATTCTGGAGTTCACAGAAGGTCAATTTTTGTGCTGTTTGTTACAGAGATCTGAAACCAGAAAATATCCTGTTGGATGACAACGGTAAGTTCAACCACACTACAAACCCTTTGTTGTTCCAGGGCTTCGTGTGCAATAAGAAACAGTAACCTGTAAAAGATATCCACACTACACAGACAGACCATGAAGAATATAGTATAGATACTTTTATTTTTAGCCCTATAATTAGTCTGTCTGAATGACATGGGCAATAAGGGTTTCAATCAGATTTGTTTTGTTCACACACCTACCAATAAGGAAACGGTTGACATTTTTACAAACGTGCAAGCAATTGTAAGTTCAGGAAGTGAAAGCTTGAGTGCGTTAGGTGTGGTGTCTATTTTAAGAAACCTGTTTCTATAATCCAGGAATCCCTTTGTCTTTTAATGTTTTAAATAGTTCAAATAGGCTTGGGGAAGGGTTTTTTTTCCATGGGAGAGAATCTTACCAGTTCAGTTTACTATTTTCTGTTTTCTTCCTTTACTATTTTCTGGGCAGGAAACATTCGGATTTCTGACCTGGGCCTAGCTGTCAGGCTAACAGAGGGGAAGCCGGTGCGGGGCAGAGTGGGCACACTTGGCTACATGGGTGCGTACCACAGCCACCTTACATTGATGTTTCAAAGTTTCAAATGACTGCATTTACTTATTTTATGGATTTAAAGTGTGTTGCATTACATACCATCAAGCAAGAGAATTAGATCCATCCCTCCACTGATATCCCCAAAACAGCAACACATCTGAAAATCTGAAATGATAGAAAAAAAGATCAGAAACAATAATTTAGTTAAATGAAAACTGTTCACAAATCATACGCCCAAAATCAGTTTTGGTTTGTATGGCTTTAACACAACTTGACTGCCAGACTTGAGTCCCCATCTCTGCTTAAGCCCATCAGATCTAATAACTGTGTGTGAATGCTATGTAGACATAGTTGGACTCGAACCTGTCTACACTTTTCTACCAATAGGCTAACACTGCTCTGACCCCTATGGGAGTGAGAGAGGGATGCCTGTGGCCTGAAATCCTGATAGCTCTATGCTAGTCACAACAACACTTGGTGCCTCTGATATTCCAGCTAGAGGCAGACGTGTTGAAGACAAGACAATGACACAGTACCCCCTTGTGAAAACCAACTGTTTTATAAAGGGCACAAAATTTAAGCTGCTGTAATTTCAATGTTGGAATGAAACATGGTTTTTCAAAGACCTTTGATTGATAACAAAAAAGTGCCGCTTTGTTCATGTAAATATAAACTATTTTGTTTAATTTTAGTATTTAACAACTGGATTTTGTAACAAGGAATTGTTTGTCATATTCATCCTGACTCCAGATAACATGATAACATAGTTGCTGATTACTGTTTTAAATAGCTCCAGAGGTGATTGGCCATGAGCACTATGGGATGAGCGCGGACTGGTGGGGTCTCGGCTGTCTAATTTATGAAATGACAGCAGGGCAGCCTCCATTCAGGTCTCGAGGAGAACATCCAAAAGCATTAGAGATGGAGCACAGAATTCAGAAGCAACAGGAAGAATACAATCACAAGTTCAGCCCAGAAGTCAAAGACCTCTGCTCTCTGGTGAGCGTCCATCCTAATACTGAAGTTTATCACAGTTTTACACAGATAAAAAGTCAAAGAAATTGATTTTTAGCATAGACATTACCAGTAAACCACTAACAACTGCCAGTTTTAGTTATTTATCAGTCACCTTTAGACACTATATCATGTTTTGTACAAATTGCAGCTCCATTCATGTGAAATCTGTATATATAACTACACAACTAGTAATGTCATGCATTTCCTCCTGTAATGTAGTTGCTGACAAAGGACCCAAAGCAGAGGTTGGGCTGCCAGGGTTTGAAGGGGAGAGAGGTGCAGTCACATTCTTTCTTTGAAAACATTGACTTCAGGATGCTGGAGGCTGGACTTGTCAAGCCACCATTCAAACCTGATGCAAGTAACCTAACATTACCTCCACTTAAATGCAAAGTTGTGTTTCAGTACCATATATTCGAAGTTAACTGCATTTTATTTATAATGACTGACTTGTATTACATTTGTATTAGGAGGAATGTTGAATTGCAAAAAAATGAATACAGTAACCATTAGTTATGTCTGAATAATTACCTGTTTTTTTTAAACATCATTAGCCTAGACTGGTGTACTGTAGTGATGTGCACGATATTGAGGAGTTTTCTTCAGTAAAAGGAGTAACTCTGGACCAGAAAGACAATAACTTCTACTCCAAGTTCAACACCGGCAGCATCCCCATAACCTGGCAGAATGAGGTGTGTTTAACTGTTAGTGAACAGTGTTGTCACTTTAAAAAGTATTAATAAGAAAAGTTAAAAAAAAACTTCACAATCGTCTTTCATACTTGTAGATGATAGAGACTGGATGCTTCAGAGAGCTGAATATTTTTGGTCCTGCTGGGACTCGGACCCCAGACCTGGATTGGTCACAGATTCCTGAGGTTCCCAAACGCAGCCTGCTGGATCGAATCTTTCGTAGACATGTAAGAAATTCTACCAAAAAGGTGTGTGTGTGTGTGTGAGTATGTGTGTAAATAAAGATACAAATCCAGCTGAAATACACGTTTGATTTGCCAAATTTTCTATCAATATAGCAATAATCCTTCTAGGTTCAACTTTTAACACTGTTTTTAATGCTAAGCCACTTTATGAAGGAGAAAGTAATACATGACAGAACGAATGAATGAATGAATGAATGATGGATGGATGGATGGATGGATGGATGGCTGAATTAACGAGTGAAGGACACAGTGAGATCTGGGCACTCTAGAGAATGTGCACTCTCCCAGATTCCCTTTTCTGTGTTAATAACAGTTGATAACATTAGTTATATTTTTGAATGTACACTGTGCACTACAGCTAAAGAGAATTGGATCTAAGCATAAACCTTACTCATCGAACTGGATGATAAAAGTAGGTGCTTCTTTCATAGGTGACTGAAAGGGGTTTTTTTTCTATTTTTTGTTTTATGTTTCCCTACCATCTTTCAACAGCAAAACACAGACTCAGATGACAGCCAACACAGCCTGTTGCCCCCTGATACCTACATGAAGTCTGGACTCCTTAGCACGACACTTTGAGGACTGTCCTGGCAAAGACAGCCGCTGGGAAACCACTCGTCTGCATGACCTGGAACAGCAAAAGACAATATGACTTGATTTGTACATGTAGAAATCAGTGCTGCCTGCTGATGATTAATGCCTCTGTGCCTACTTTAATATCAAGACCTACACAATGAGTATTCATCATCATGCCAGGATTGTGAAAAAAGGCTGTTGACGAATTCATCGGTTTCTATTCACATAGGTTATTGTATGTCGTCCAAGAAAAAGTTAGGTTAATTTGTTTGAACTTGAAAAAGTGACAGCCAGTCAGCATAGCATATTTTTGTTACATTTGTTACACAGACATCTGTTTTTCATGTACAATTTTCTGTACTGTCCATTTAAAACCCTTATTTCTGTACTTTTGAAAAGCAGCTTTTTGTAAAATACTTCTATTTTGATACATACTGTACTTTGAATTTGAATTGAACCAAATAAACAGTCAATAAAGTGTATTTAAATACTGGTCATTAAAATAAACTATACAAGCAATATACAGCATATATACTGTATATATATATTACAAAAAATATGATGTAACTAACTACTTTCTTCCTCTATTTTGTTGTATATTGTCTAACTGCAAGCTATGTAATTCGCGTCCCTGCGTGTTAGCGCATTGCTAACATAATGCTAACACACAAAAGGGTGTGTTTATTGTTGTTTATTTCTTATTTTGAGTGGACAGTTAATTATTCAGTTATGCCATGTGGGGTGAATGGCTAATTTTCACATAAATACAGATTAAACATACATAACAATTAAAAAAAACTGCATATGAAAGTCACGACACGGAGCTTTCAGGTGTGTACTAAGCACGACCAACTGGATTGGAGAAAGTGGTACAGGATCAGTGTTTAATACGAAATCATATATTAATTAAATATATATATTATAGCAACATCTAGCCTTTTTGAATAGCCATCGGATGAACTGCTTATATTAGCACACCAAGAAAACCTGTGTGGATTTGTTAAATTCCTGCACATATAGATTTTTTAATCTAAACGTTAACAACGCCGGGGGATTAAATGAATATAAAACTAAACAATAAAACTTAATTTTATATAAATGTATATCCAACTGAGTGAAAGGTTAGGACACCCCCGTATGTGAGGTGTGTCAGGTCAGGTCCACAAGTTTACAACATTGTTCATATGCATGTTAGGAGCAACTTTACCTCAACGTCCAAGTCTAAAATGTCTTCCCAGGATTAAGCACATGCGGAAAGAGGTTACTTTTCTGTACTTGTTTTGGAATTGACAGCACACGTAAATGGGCTGTTACATCCATGACAACAATGCACTGATTGGCTGAAACCGTTCATACGTCACACAGTTGTATTTAGCGTTGAGACGGCCGCTCGGTGCCAATTGCCTCTTTCCGTTTTTGGCTCGTAGTCACATCATCCCAAGTTCTGAATGTATTGTGTTTACATTGACAAGAAAAATAGGTCACATACACAAAGCAGCGCTGAAGTCTGGTTTATACAAATTATTCACAAGAAGTGTCGATTACTACAAATCAACGACATGTGATCATTTTTATTTACTAACACAGAGTATAAAACGGTGAATTACCAACAAGCACATTGTAAATGGAGCAGAATGATGGAACATACTCAGGATTGTGGAGACGGCCGTTGCACAACACTGAGCTTGTCTGAGTGGACACATAACTCAGTAACTATATTATATGAAGACTTTGAAAGGATAAAGATGTTTGAATAAAGAATCTGACATCAGCGTATGTACTTCTTTATGGCTAAAGTTTTGCTGATGATTTTAGGGGGAAAAAAATCTGGGATTTTTAAACTGTTTTTGTTTTTTTAAAGGCTAATATTACACAACTCACTATATTACTCCAACACAGTGTTTGGCGTTTTCTTTTTCCTGTCTGAAGAAGAAACAATGTTAGGACACAGGAAGAGTGTGCAGTGTGAATTCAAACTGCACTCAACCCTCCCATGGCGGACTGCGTCTTCCGTCCACGTCAGTCTCCACGTGGTACAGCATGTCAGCCAACGTGTGCTCGATCACAGCTCCCCAACCCATGTCACTCATCTGAAGGCAGGAGCAGACACACAAACAAACGGTGACTTGATTTAGCTATTATAATAATAGTGCAAAATAAATAACCGTATAAATGAATGGTTGTATATTTTTCATCAAATTTACACTTGTGCTATATGTCTCCACAGAGACAAAAGTAAAATAAAGAGCTCACCGGCTGGTACTTCACATCCTTTGGAGGGAATTTGAAATGTGGCCCGAAATTTACTGAAACCTGAGACACAGAGACAGAATTAGATTTTAACAGAACACAACATTCGAGGACATACAGAGCATGGGCATCAACCATGTACTGACCGTGCAGCTCTTGTAGAGGGAGATGGCAGGAAAGTACATGCCTTCAAACAGATTTTCAAAGGCAACCCCTTGGCTCACTCCATTTTTAAAAAATATCATCTGAAAAAGAGGTCACACATGTTAACACAGGCCAGGCGAAACAGCTGTCACATTTTACTGTATCAATTTTATTTTCAATAGCATGTCCCACCCTGCTGGGGCTCACTGTCTTCAGACTTTTCTCTGCTTTGTCCACATAGTCCTTCTCCTCAAAGTACAGGTAGCTCTTAAACTTAATCAATGCCTGTGAAACAAGTAGAGAGCCGTAAAGAAATCAGAAGTCCCACTAGGATTACATCTCATATATGTTATTATTATATTTCTACTAAGTGACAATAAAATATTTGTAATATATATATATTTTTTACCGGTAATCTTACAATCCCAGCCCTAAATCCCACTGTATGTTTTCAGGAGTAACCTTGTCCTTGTACGTGTCAGGCAAAGCCTTGGCTGTCTCTGTGTCTTCAGGCAGCTCTATGAAGAAACCCAGAGTGTCTCCTTGACCGTAACCTGCAGAATAATGTTTGCCCATGGACTGGTGGAACCGTGTGCCCTTCTTACTACGCCATGAGTAGCTGAACTTGTCGTAACCCAGCGGTGCCTGCAGGTTCCCTGTTGCATAAACAAACAAACAAACAAAAAAAACATAAATGGCAGTTGCAATAAATAATTTTAAGCATAAACAACATATCACCTAACACCTAACACAGAATGGGTCTGGATTTGTTTTAGTAAAGCTGATGACAGAGCAGTTGATAAAATAACTCAGTCAGTTATTATACAGTATATGAAGTTGGTTGAGAATTGTAAATGCTTTCAATGCTCTAAAATGTAATGAAACCACAGCGTTTTTAAAGCACCTCGTATTATCATTCCTTTGGTTGTAACATATTAACCTTTCCAACGAAATACATCAAAAATATAATAATAAAACAATTCCTTACAAAAACAATAGGGCAACACTGGTGGAACACTGGTGGAACTTTGGCTCCCTCAAGTGGTACATAGGGGAAACTGATTTTCATTAGGATTAGGTGAGCTATGAAGTAGTACAATTCTTTGTATGCATGTAAGCCATTTCAGAATTCAGAATTGTGGTCATCTCGGTGGTACTTGGCGGGGCAAATATTCTTCAAGGTGGTACTTGGTGTAAAAAGTTCGAGAATCGCTGTCCTATCTTCATCCAATTTGTCAGTGTTGTTTATCAGCAAATTTAAAATCATCTGTGAACGTAAAAATCAAACCCTGACCTAGTGGCTGGGACCAGCCAAGCCTGGCTGCCGTCTCTGCAGGCATCTCATCCACAGTCACCTCAAAGTACCATGATCCTTTGCGCACGCCATGTGATGCTCGAACCATGGAGTAGCCCTTCTCTCCTGTCACTGTCAGACGGTCATCAGAGATTTTCAGCTGAGGCGCTGAAATGTCATTAGACACAAGTTGGAGTACAACTCAATCAATCAATTGATCAATCAATCAAAAAAAAAAACTAAAACAATCATCTCAGGACCAGAATTACAATATAATGCCACAGATACTGTACATACATATATATACATATACACACATACATATATACACTTACATATACATATGCATATACTGTATGTGTATATACATACATATACATACATATACATATATATATATATATATACATATATATATACACATACATATATACATATACAAAATGTGTTCATCTTGTGAATACCTCTGTCATGCAAGGCCAGCAACACTCTCTCATACAGACAGGATCTGTACAAATCACCAGGAATGGGTTTTCCAGCCCAGCAGTCCAGCTCGAGTTTTTCTGGGTCAGGCGCGTGAGGGTCTGGTTCAGCCAGAATATACCGGTACCCGTCTTTGTTAAACGGGTGTTCCAATGGGTAACCATGAGGAGGGAGGCGTTGGGCTGAGAACAAGGGGTCACTGTGATGAGGGAAGCAGAGAAGAGTAAGAACAGTAGGTCACTGTGTGGAACTGCAGGTGCAGCCACTTCTACAATGGAAATTAAGTAGGGATAATATGTTTGTGTAGCATCCACCCTCACCTGCATAAGTGCAGGTGAGGGCGGTGGGCACAGGACTGCACGATGAGCCAAAGGATTTTTTTCCATAACTGGTGAGTGATTGATTGAGTCATTAAAAAACCATTAAACCATTAAAAACTTTTATTCAACATCCTAATAATTTGAAGATGCTGGAATCATTTGTCACTAAATGTACACAATAACAGTTGTTTTTAAATTGAGTGGAGATAATATTTATTAATAATTAATAATAAGAATTAAATAGAGAAAATGGATTAAAAAAATGGTGCTATTTAGTGACTGCCTGTCACTGGTTTGAACATTTTGCAGCACATTCTGTGGTGTCATAACATAGATTCTAAAGCTGCCATGTGGTGGGTTTTGTTTGTGTTTTAATTTAATTTAAATCTTTCACAAAAATTTACATCTCACCACCATGTCAACCTTCTGTTACACATGTATCAACACACTTTGACAAAGACATGTTGCTTTTACCTGCGGGTTCTCTTGGTGGCTCCTGCAGTTGCACCCTCCTGCTGCTGCTGTTGCTTACGTTTGGCTCCCCTTCCTTTCCCTGGACCAGGGGCCAAGGCACCTTCAAAAAAAGAAAAAAAAAATCAACAAAATGTCATTGCTGTACAGACAACAATGTACACAGAACACAGACACCCTTGCATACCAGTAAAAGCACTTGTTTAGCCATTTCAGATACACAGGGTGACAACAAGCACCAAAAGGCAGGAATTAGTTCTAATGGCATCTTCCAAACACTATCAGCCTCTTGTTGTTCCTCTTTAATGTCAACGTGACACACTGTTTCACAGGGAAATACAATCACAACTAGAATGCCTGTGGGCGACTTACTATAACTTCACAGACGTTTATTATTTAATATCTATGGATAGTTTTTTCTGATTCTGTTCAGTTGTTTTGGATTGCAGGAGGCACAGACTAGTTGTCCACACCTTATACAGTTGGACTAAACAGCAAACAAGTTTTATTTTCCCTTAATGGTTTAAAAACTTAAAGGACCAGAGGTTGAGGCTTACAAGCAGTGGATGAGAGCCAATATCTTTTTTTTTTTTAATGGCACACTGCCCTCACATGTTGTGTACTCTGGAGGGCAGAATGTCATTGCAGAGGAGTTTTTCAGGATCTATTAGAAGCAAGCTGGAAGATAATTACTAATCAACAAAGGGGTGAAGCTTTTGGGGGGCGGGGGGACGGGCACCAAACAGATGCAGAGAGCAGACAGCAGGAAGTATAACTGTACATGGATGAAGTTGCCCACAAGATATTTGTCAACAATCAGTTTGGTATGAGTTTGATTTAAACGGAGGGGCAAGGGAAAAAAGGTGTTTGTTTGGAACCTCAGGGTCAACTTCTCTCCAGAGGGTTACAAGACACAAAAACACACCCATCACTGCCAAATGCTACAAACAGCACATAGTCACCTGAGAAAGAAGATCCACCTGGAACACAATGCACACAATCACTTTGGTCAACACATGTAACAAGACCTGTTTCAGTTCAGGGGCTGTACACCTGCCAGTGTTAATGTGTACAAAATGTATTATACTGTACATAATGTGTTCGGTGAGATTAGAGAGTGAGAGAGAGTTGCACCATGTTGGTGTAAGGCGGTTAAGCAGTGATTTTTTTAAATTTTTGCTCTTCTATGTGTAAAACATTCTTATTTGTAAATTAAAGAATGGCAATGTTTTTGGTTTATTTACTAGACTATTCTGCAAATATTTGTCCAGGGCCAGGTTATTCAGGCCAAGTACTGTCAAAGTGCTGGACAGATGCAGCAGGGACACCCTAATATACAAACAGTTTAAAGGGTTTTTTATGTTAAACTGAATCTGGTGCTAAGGTTAAACATTTTGTCAGTGGTAATTAAGTAATAGGTGATTACATAATTCCCTGATTTATATATCTGACGACAGTTCATTTTTGTTTTAGTTTACATATTAACTGTCTCACCATTGAGCCCACCAGTTGTAGGAGTAGTAGTAGTCTGTTTCTGTGAGTCATATGAGGGTCCAATAGTTCCCAGATCCTAAAAAAGGAAACAACAGTAAGTTTAACAGAACACACAGACAAATTCTACATGAAATTTCTACAGCGGTCCGAAATGCTCACAGCAACATGTACAAGACCCAAAAAACAAACAAACTGGCAACACATATACAAAGGCAAGACATTTTTTTACTTTGGTACACGTCAAGTATGAGCACAGAGGAATGAGAAGTTGTTGTTTTTTACTTAGAGGATAAGACTTAACTATCTTTCAAAACTAAGTTTGAGACTGTTTTCATTTTTATAAATTAATTATGAATTAATTAACAGTAAAAAAAACCTCATATTAATTGTGTTTCAAGTAAAGATCAATGAGTTTGCCTTTACCTATACATCTAGATAAATTATTTGTGAAAAAACTATTAGTGATGAAAAAAATGCAAATTTAAAACATTTTTCTGCCTGAGTGCTGTTGTGTTTTATACATACATGTATTAGTACATACCTGATCTAACAAGCCAAATTTGGGATACTCCTCCTCTGGGTCTTTACTGCCTGGGTCAGGATGTTCTTTTACTAGGAAAACATCTCGCTCTTTACTCTGAAAGATTCACATCAATACCAAGACATTACCAAACCTCCACAATAACAACTGAAGAATGTGAATTATTTCCTCACCATGGTTTTGACTATGTTGTTGGGCCACGTGAGCTTTCCTGGTCTCTGGCGTGTTGTCATGCACTCCCAGTACTTGTCAATGAATGGTATGATGTCCTGCAATGTATTTAAATCCATGGGCAAACATTTCTGTTAGTTTTAAGGCTTTTGCAATAATTCAATACCATGTACACTTAAACTCAACTCAAATCCACTCAATCTCATTTGTATCACATGTGTAGTACTCATCCAACCTTATCTTTGGAGAACATGGTCTTTGGGTGCTCTTCTTGTGTTCTAGATCTCCATGTGAGATTTGCCAGAGCTGTGAGACACATCTCTTTCAGATCTGAATAAACAACAGAAATACCAGTTGGTGAAGTAGCGAAAGCACTTTGGATCACATTTTATCCTCAACACTGTTTGTAAAAAGCCAAACTATTTTATACCTACACTAACTACAAATTATTAATTAAAAATATTATAGTCTTTATTGTCATTGTAACATGGGGATACAACGAAATTGAGCCTGTGCTTTTAACCCATCACCAAGGTGAACAGTGGGCAGCTTTAAGGGGAGCAGTGTGTGGGGACAGTGCCATGCTCAGAGCACCTCGGTGGTAACTTGGGAGCTGGTGGACTCGAGGATTGTAAAACACAAAAACAGATAATCTGTTAACCATGATATATCACTATACATATAGTGATATATATATATTGCTGCTCAGTAACGAGAGCACAACAACATTATACTGTAACAACATAACATTAACCACCTTCATGTCACAAACTGCTGATGATCTAGTAGGTTTTTAAATTGTGCCCACTACTGTAATATTATGTATCTATCTCCATCTCTTTAAGTCAGTTTCCAGGATTCAAAGAAAAGACGTCACAGATAAAATAAAAAACTAAAAAAACAAAGACCTACTTGCTTGTTTCCTAAGGAAGTATGTGTTACCACTGTGATGGCACACGTTGCAGTGAAACACATAGTTGGTCATAAAGGGAAGACAGGTCCTGTGGAGACAAAACCATGATAAGATAGAGCTTCAAAATGTAATAAAAGCACAAAACTGTAAATTTATGTTTTTGTAAACTTCACATACACAGTGTCGATGCCAAACGTATCAGCAGTGAACCACTTCATACACAGGGCACACTGCAGTTCCACTTCTCCCAGATGCCTTCCATTCTCCTCATCCCCCGAACCAGTCAGAGTATCAGCGGCCTCAGAGCCTTCACCTGCTGTATCCTGAGAGCAAACACAGCAGTTTACTATAAAATAGCGCGTTCTCTCTCTTTAATGTATTATATATTAGGTCAAGATATATTCCTATTCCGTAACATAAAAACAAAAATCCTTGAAATGAAGGGAAAATGTTTGTTTTTCCTACAGAAAATGAAGTTAATTATTCATTAGAATTAAAAATGAACACTATTTACATAATTGTAAGAGGATGAAGAAGACATAAAGAAAAACAATAGTGTTCAATAACATTACCATTCCCTCTTTGCCATTTGAGGAGTCATCCATGCTGCCAGGTAGCTCCCTGAATACAGCAGTTCTACAATTCATTAAATGTATACAGATGTTAACAACAACAATAGGTAATGATCTTATTCATTTAAAATAAAGGTGTGTATCAAATAGAAGCAAGAACAACAATCCTCATAATCATTATTCAGAAAATGTAGTATTTATGCAGTACTGTGTAGATGCTAATACTATGTTAAATTATGTTATAATATAACTAACATACGCACAAGTCCTGTCTAAAGGCATTTCCACAGATACATTTACACATTATTACAAAATCCAACTTGGCATGACGAGTAATTATTAGGTGGTGAATATAAGCACTTTTCTCGGTTAATTTTTTACAGAATTGATTGGTTTAGTTATATGCTAGCTTACAGTCAATAATCGATTTAGTCGATGCTGAGATATTTTCTATTTCATAAAAACTGAAGAGCTTTGTTCAATGTGTCGCTTGTACATCGCTATTAGCCAGGAAATAACCCTGCTTTTCACAAATCGTAAGGCTACTAAAACACCATTTATGTTATATTTATCCGTTTGAAGTGCTAAAGTCATAGTGAAGAAAAGTATTATTTAAAAAAAAACATGAAGCACACAAACCCTTCTCTAGTCTCTGGTTGTGTTGAAGCAGTATTACCCGCCTCAGCCTCAGACGCCATGTTTCAAATGATTGAAAACAAAGAAACATCGCGAGACTCTGACACAACCCGGTTTCCGGTCTTGGAGTATTGCAGCGGCGACACCACAGGCTTAAATGAAAAGTGCAGGCACTAGTTTGCGCTAAACGTAGCATCACATTGTATTTACAACGTCATAAATCCAAGAGTTGTTGTTGGCGTGTGTTATGTCAGGTTACCCGAAACAATGTTTGTTTTGTGTCTTTGTTCTTAATATTAAACCAAACCGTATTATCTACAATCTTCTTGAGACAGTACACTTCTGAGTCAAGTCAGCAGTTAGGTCTATATATACTTATACAGACATGTGTCTTATAAATATCAAAACCAAGAGACACAGCAAGACAGGGCAGCTTTAACAATATTTATTGCATAGATTCATCAAGCTGTGTTTTATTTAATTATCTTTCAATTCCTAAAACATCACATTTTTACTCCAACTTAAAATGGATTCAATGTTGCCTTCTTTTGAAGGTTTTAAACTCATTTTGATATATCTCATGGTGATGTATCACATGATGATACTAGCCTCATCTGATTCTTACTTTCCTAAAACTGAAAAACGGAAACGGAAAGAAAAAAAAAGATTTATATCATGTTTTTTTAATTTGTATTGGCACATATAGAGTCACAGCTTTACAAGTCAGTGAATCCACTATTACCTACAACTGCACTTTTGGATGTGCAAATATCCATGTAAAATGTTCTTTACTTTTAATCATTGCGTTTTGGTGTTTACACAGTTAAAGGGCAATTCACTGTATAAAAACTATGTGACGACTGGAGACCACCCCACAGGCTTTATGAAAGTCAAACGTTAGTTAGAATTTTGTAGGGGCCGTTCCAGGACCAGTAAAGATGAGTTAAACATAAAAACAAGTGTGCCACAGGGCGTCCTCACAAAAGAGGACCAGGAACACTGAAGACACCCCCTGGTGCTGCAATAAATGCCTTTAGGTCATTGTTAGAGAGATAATGGTTGTGTTTACTCCACCTCTTTCCTCTTATGGATGTGGACACATCTGTGAGGTTGGTTACACCATGTGATACTTCATCCAACTGTAACTCTTGTTTTTAACATAGAAACTAAATATAGGATATCAGTCCTGTTGACACGTTATGTCTGAAGTTACAGATGTTTAACTTCAATATGTTTCTAAAAGGCTTTTTGGCCTCATTCCATATTTTCTTAAAGGAACACTGAAACATTTTAATAGAGCCCAGACCCAGTTCAATTTTATTGTCTTGTGTACCTGAATTTTCTTTAACTGCACTTCATTTTAATAGCAGTCATTAAGTCTTATTCTGGGAGGGTTCTTTAGAAGTTGCGCTATGCGTAATGGGATTATCATTTGAAAATGCAGTAAAAAAATACTTAAAAGGAATGATCTGAGTTATTTACCAGAAAACATAAATGTCCCTTAAATTTTCTCCAACACGTCACCGTCTCACATTACTTCTATCATCCATAGCAGACCACCTTGCTAGCTGACCCAGAAGAAGGTTGTCAAAAGCGGCCTGTGAAAACAGTTCAAAATGTGTAATTAACCGAAGTGAAATCAACAGTACCAAAAACTTCAATAATTGTTGTTTGTGGTTTCTGCTATTTCCATGTAGTCATATTCAAGTCATATATTTCAGCTACTTGCAGTTGTGTTTAAAAATTTTAAAAAATAATTTTGTTTTGGATGCAGGGCTTTGAAAATGATGTGCTGTTATCATGTCAACATTGTATATTATTTGAGGCACATCAACAACACACGTACATAAATAATACTTGTACTATTTCCCCTCACTGAACTCCTCTTT